GGCGGGGAGAGGGGCGGGGCCTGGGAGGCAGCGCCCGTCTGGTCCGCCAACCCAGACCCCACTGGGACCTTACGCCAGCCCACCGTTACCCAGAAAGAGGAACAAGCACGTTGGTAACTTGTCAGGGCTTCATGCCGCTCTGTGATACAAGACTACTGACCCTAGAGCAGTGATGGTGAAGCTTGTACAGCTTTCAGTGACAGCCCCTTGAGGCTGTCGTGCTGCAGGTTCCCACCGCTGCCCTAGATGATCCTGAGGTTGTCTCTCTTTCTTGCTGAATTTCTGGGGAAGAGCCACTTTCCTAGGAGGGTGCGCAGGACTGAATGCGTCTATCCCGGGGAGGTTGGTAGAGGGCTACAGTGCAGGGACTCGCGCGCCCCAGACGTGCTGCACCTCCACTGGCTGTGCTGCTCTGGCGGTGACCCTCGGGGGAGGGGCGGCTGCAGGGCTGCAGGGTGAGTAGGAGTTGTGTGGTCTGGCAGCTGTGGTCCCCTCCCAGCCCACGCCCCATCACCTTCTCCCTCTCCTGCAGTGACAGTGCCCAGCCCCGAGGAGGAGCCAAAGGGGGAGAAGATCTACCTGTACACACACCTGAAGCAGCAGCCCATCTGGTAAGGCCCACCTCAGCCGGGGGCCCCAGCCTCGCCTCACTGGCCACATCCTCCAGGAAATGGCAGCCACTACTTCCAGGGTGGCCAGAAAGAGAGAGAGAGTGCTCACAGTGCTGGCAAGGAGTGGGGGAGGCGTGGTCTCCTCATTGCTGGGGCCGAGGTCAGCCGAGGGACCGCAGGATGCAGCTGTCCTGCGAGATGTGTGCCCAAGAGAGACGAAGCCACGCGCCCATGCAGAACCTGCGCTCAGATGCCCGAGCCCCAAAGTGGGAGCAGCCCAGAAGCCCACCTGCCGGCTCAAGGGTTAGCAGGGCGTGGTCCGTCCACGGCACATGAAGAGTGTGACATGACCCCAGCACGATGGCCCACGAGGACAGGACGGGCCACACAATCCCATCCGTAGGGCTGTGCAGAAGAGGCAGTTCCTGAGCCAGCATGGGTTGGAGGTTGCCAGGGGCCGAGCTGGGCGAGGATGAGGAGGGACCCGGTGGGCCTGGGCTCGTCATGGGTGGGAGTATCTGCATGTGGGGTGGGGGTGGCCCACAGCTCGTCCTGAGCCTCCTGCGTCATTCAGGGATCCCGGAACCTACACTGAGCTCCATCCTCAGAACCTAAGTGTTTAAACTTTGAGGCAGGGTCTTGCTAAATTGCTAAACTTCCCAGACTGAGCCCAAACCTGTAATCCTACCTCGGCTTCCCAGAGTGCTGGGATTACAGGCATCACGCTGGTTGAATTGTGCATTTATTTACTGTGTGCTGGGAGTGGAACCCAGGGCCTTGCACAGGCCAGGCAAAGGCTCTGCTACCAAGTGACCCCCCAGCCCAAAGTGCATACATTAACAGGTGAATTTCCTGATACAGAGTTTGTATCCCAGCAAAGCTGTGTGTGTGTGTGAGTGTGTGTGAATGTGTGTGTGTATGGATTAAAATGAAGGTTGTAGTTGAAGTACAGACCAGGTGCAGTGGCTTGGTGATGGTTTGTGTGTCCCCTGGGGGTTCACTCGCTGGGACTTTGTTTCCGGATGCAGGGTGAGGTGGTGATGGGCGAGGCTTTGTTTGCACAAACGAGCTTCACAGGGTGTGCTGACCGCCTGGGCAGGGCTGGTGGGACTTCCCAGCCACAGCGAGTGGGGCCACGGACACCTCTTTCCCGAACACCGGGCCCGATGCTGGGCTCGTTTCCTGCACACTGCTGGTGTTGGAACCAAACAGGCTGTGACCCCAGTGGTCAGGGAGGTGGTGCTTGGTGCCCAGCTCTGAGGGATGGGCAGCTCATCGGAGCCCAGGGCCCCCTCTCTCTACATGCATTGTCCACCCAGAGATGAGGCGCTGGCAGCTGGGACCGCAAATTGAGCTCCAGCCTCCCTCAGAGGTCACAGTGGAGCTGTGCAGTGCCCAGGCCAGTCCTGTGAGGAGTTTGGCCAGGCCACTGCGGTACTGGGACAGGGCTGGGCCCCGCCGGCCAGGCTCCTACCCCGGACAGCACCCTCAGTTCTGCCCTGGGCCATGCTGCTATCTTCCTCTCTGGGGCAGGCCGGCCAGCTTCCCTGTAGGGACTGGATGCTGAGGATTTTAGGGCTTGGGGCCACACAACTGTTCTGGGGTGGCTGGAGGCCGAGTAGATAATGGGTTCTCAAGCCCAGGACACCTTTACCTACAGATCTGGCCGGGCACCTTGCTCGTCCCTCCCTGCCTTCCTCACACATCCCCTCAGCACGTGTGTGTCCCTGCCAGGGCCCCAGTGACATTAGAGCCCTGGCCACCCACTTCCTTGCAGAGCTGTGGAGCTGTGGGAGACGAGTTGGAGAGCCCAGGTTCACAGTTTCGTCCCTCCAGCCTCACAGGAGCCGGAGTGGGGCCCTGCACCCTGATCTGCCTCGCCTGCTCCTTGGCTCTGCACAGATGGGGGTGGCGGGTGGGGCCTCACACTGGCATCTCCTCCTGCAGGCACACCCTGAGGTTCTGGAACGCCGCCTTTTTCGATGCAGTCCACTGTGAGAGGAGAAAGCGGTCCCCCACCACCAGGTAGGCACCCGGTGTGGCTGGCTGGAGGACAGGCCTTGGTTCTCCTTCCCAGTGTCTGTGTGGCAGAATGGCTGAGTCGCCCTGTTTGTCTCCTCCCTCTGCCCTCCCGCCACCCTGGGGCCCTGCTGGCTGCCTGAGGGTTCCGCCTCATGCTTGAAGGGGGTGGAGTGCTCAGCTTGCATGAGAGCTTCTGCCCCGGCTCTGGCATGACTTGGTCTGGCCCTCCTGACGCCGCCATCCGCCGTAGGATAAGGTCCCCAGGACCGCTGCGCTCTCTCCACTGTGTGGAGCTGGAGTCCCAGGTCCAGCTGCCTAGAGGTCCCAGGGTACGGGGCTCCAGGCTGGTTACTGGCTGTACTGGAAGGAAGCCACTTCTGAAAGCCCAGGTGGCCACAGCCCTGTGCTCCCCCTGGCCAGCTTGGGGCCCTTCTTGCCCAGGAGCTGTGTGACTTTGAGGTCTCTGAGCCCTTCGGGGCCCTGGTGGGGAGATGACGAGAGCGGACTCGGCTGTGCTGCCCGGGGCATCCTAGGTGAAAGCCTCCCGCCCGCCTGTGCCCCACAACAGCGGCTCCATGTCCTGGGGAGGCACAGGGCGTGGACAAGACCCCGAACCCCTGCCCAAGGACTGGGACGCGTTCTCTGGCGGGAGACTTAGTGAGGGAAGTGCTGAGCGTCTGCGGGTGAGTGATGGCTTTGGCCTCGCTCCGGTCTGGGCTCTGAGCAGCGTCTCTCTGTCCTCTCACCCCGCCTGCGGCCCTCTCTGCTCGCCCCGCTCCATCCACGTATCTTGCATGACTCTGACATGTTCCTCTGTTTACCTGTTTCTGCTGCCGCTCCAGAGGGGATGCTGGAGAGCAGGAGGACAAGAGGTGTGTGTGTCCCTGTGACTTTGTTCATTTGCAGCGCCCTGCGGGGCGGGAGGGCCGCCCTGGAGGAAGCACCCAGGCAGTTAGCACGGGCTCAGGCCCTGGGAGGAGAGGGGAGGCAGGAGGCCCCCCCAGTGAGTCAGGTTGCACCCTCCACCACCACCCTGGCCTTTCCAAGCTGACCTGGAAACCCAGCCGGGCCCCAGCGGCATCCCTCTAGGGGAGCGGGGTGTGGAACGCTGGGACCATGGGGAAGGAGGCTGGGTCTCCTGCAGCACAGCCAGGCAGGGCTGACCTCGCAGTCCCAACTCTATTGGGATACCCTGCCAAGTCTGTTGAAAGACCTGCCAGACAGGCTGGCAGGGTGTGGCTGCCCTGCAGAGGGGCCGCCCTAGCCTCTTCCTGTACCTGGTGCTGGTGGAGGGCCCTGCCTTGGAGCAGTGACTCATGAAGCTCTGTCACTGGAGGGCCGCTTGGGCAAACAGGTCCTCCTCTAGCAAGCAAGGCCCCTAGCCTGGTCTCCAAGGACAGTGATGAGAGGCCTTGGAGCGTGGCTCCCTGAGTTTAGGCTGGGACTGGCCACAGCCCCACAGAGGGGCCGCCAGCCCCCGGTCCCCTGGCCCTCACAGCCTCGAGCAGGCCCATGGGCCCGTGCCCAGGCAGCCCCGTGCCGCCCTTCCTCCTAGGCCCTAGAGGCAGGGCAGGGGTGTCTGTGTCAGAGGTCTCACTCAGGAGCTGTGGTCAGACACGCGCCCGCTGCAGCAGGCATGAATGAGGATTCTGGTTCAGAGGCCACCTTGCAGGGCTGGACCCAGGCTGTATCCTCAGGAGGCTGCTGGCTGGCAGGAAGAGGTCCCAGTTCTAGTCTGACAGCAGGAAGGAGAGCCCCTCCCGCTGTCACAGCACACGGGCAGGTTGCGGTGTGGCCCACACAGCTGTCCACGGTGGGCTGGCGCTGTGGGCCCCGTGCACCTGACCAGGCCTCAGGGTGCCTGTGGAGGGAGGAGGAGAGAAAGGGGTGTCTTCTGGGGACTTGTGGGTCTTGCCACCCACATGAGGAGTTGGAGGTGGCCTCTGCTGTCCCCGAGTATTGAGCCCCTCTGGAGCTGTGTAGCTGGGGACATTGGGCAGCAGGGTGCACAGGGAAGGGTTTCTGTCCTTTGTTCTGTTTCTCTCCTGCAGCTTCTCCATTCTCCAGGCCTCTCCTTCCTCCATGCGCTCTTCTCTTTCCTGTTCTTTCTCTAAGCCCTATTCAGCCAGACTCATCTGTCGAGTTTCCTCCTTGGGGAAATGGAGCTAAAATGGACACCCCTCCTACCTCAGCTGCCCCCCATACACTCGGGCCCCCCTGTTCCGTTCTCTCAGAGCCTCACCTGGACAGGAAGCCGCCCCCTGGTGGCTCCTGACAGTCTCTGCAGCCCTGCCTGCGGCAGAGGCCTTTCCAGGGAGCCCCTGGTTTCTGCCCCTGACCTGCCAAGAACCCATAGCACTTCCTGTGCACATGGGGCAGGTGACACCAGTGCCCAGGCTGGGGGACCGTGAGGGGGACCCTGCACGGTCCAGAGACACCCTAGGAAGGTGCCACAGGGTCCTCGGAGGAAGGGACAGTGGCCCTCAGATGTCCCCAGGCTCCTGCTAATGCTGCCCTCCATGGCTGGCCTGAGACAGCACAGGCCTGGCTCCTGAGACCCTGGGCAGGCTCCTTTCCTGTGTGGGTTCCGCACCAAGAGGTGGCCTGGGCCCAAGGGAGGCTGTGGGCAGCCCTGCCACTCCATACCCTTGGGCACAGAGATCACTCCAGCTTGTGAGTCTCTCCCATCAAGAAAAGGAAATAAGTCCTGTTCTGGGCTCCGTCCCAGGCTTTGTGCGGTTGCTCACCTCCATGGACAGGGCTGACAGGCTCTGTCTGAGCCCCATCCTTGCCCTCCTGTCCCTCCACAGGGAGAAGTGGTGCCACATGACTCAGGAGGAGAGGGACGACAGCCTGCGGTTCAACGAGAACATCACCTTCGGGCAGCTGGGGTAAGAGGGACATGTGGGACAGGGACAGGGACAGGCCAGCGAGCGGCGTCCCCGCTCTGCCCCCAGGCCCCTCCTCCATCCCTAGTCAGCTCCCCCACATCCCGCACCGGAGCGGAGGCTGTGGATCCCCTCAGGAGGTGGGCCTGGCACAGGGTCCCTTCCCAGGGCGCAGGAAGTGACAGCTGGTGTTTCCTGCAGCACCTTCACCCACAACATGCTGGCCTTTGGGCTGAGCAAGAAGCTGTGCGGCGATTTCCTAAAGAAGCAGGCCGTCATTGGCAACCTGGACCAGGGTGAGCTCCCGGGAGAGGGCAGGGGCCGGGACCTTCCACTGCGGTCGGACACGGAGGAGTGGGGCACCCGCCAGCCCCTCCTGGCCCGAGTCCACGGGCCAGAACTTGTCCCTCTGCAGGCTGTGCCGGAGAGGAGGGGCGGCCGGGTGTGAAGTGCACACGCGCTCTGGTCCTGTGCAGAGCCAAACCCCAGGCCCGAGTCAGCCCTGCCTCACCTCTGAGAGAGGGAGAAGGAGGCGCACGGTCACCAGACCCTGGCTCTGCATCCCGGGGGCTGCTAGGCTGCCCTTCCCTGGCACTCGTCTGCCATGATGCTTTGCACAGCGATGTAGATCTGGGTGGCCTAGAATGCTTCAAAGGGACAGCTCTCCTCTCCCCTCTGCCCCCAGCACCCAACCCCGGGGCCCTGCGGGTCCGGCAGGAGCGTGGCTGTGGCCACCTCCTTGGCAGGGGTGGGGGCACTCCTTTCCTCCCTGATCACATGCAGAGCCAGGCGACACTACGTTCTCCTGGCTCCCTGGCCAGGTCCCCATGCCACAGCCCTGCCCTGGAAGGTGGCAAGGCCAGGTAGCCATAGCAGCTGAGCCCGTCGAGGTCCTGTCCTCTTCCCGACACCCATGCTACTCTCTCTTCCAGAGCAGTACAAGCTGCTGAGCGACCACATTGAGCAGATGGCCGCTGAGTAGGATGCGGTGGGCGCCGTGCTCCAGGCCAGCAGCTGGCTGCCACCCTTCCAATGACCCCGCATGTCACCAGCAGCGCCGGAGCCGCCCTTGCTGCCCAAAGCTAGTGATTAGAAGAACTGGCTGCCCACCCTTCTTCTCCCTTCTGCCCATGTCTGCTCCCCACACGTGCCAGTGTTTCACAACCTGCTGCCCACCAAGCGCCAGGCTTATGAGATGAGCTCAGGAGGAGAAAGAAAGTGGCCACAGCCAGGTTGGGCACAGGGCAGCGACCTGCACAGTCGTCCGCTGAGGGCAGGGCAGCGGTGTGGGCACAGAGGTATGCAGTGTGGCTGAGACGGCAGGCGGGCACAGCAGGGTCATGGGGCACAGGTGAGCTCAGGGGACCATTGCGCCCCTCCAGGGTCAGTGATGGCTGCTCGCTCTTCCTGTCTGTGTGACGGGGTGGAGGTCACAGGACCCTGAAGGGCACGGACACAGGGCAGAGACAGCCTGCTGTGTGAGACCTGCCCTCGCCGGGGGGTGAGTGCCGGTGCCAACCTAGCCACCGAGGTGCCTGCGGGCACCCGAGGGACAGAGAAAGTCCCGGCATGTGGACGTGGCACCATGCCCATGAGGGCGGGGCAAGGAGTGCTGTGGCCGCTGCAGACATTGCGCATCCTGACATGGACGGCGCTGTGCCCTGACACAGCCCAGCCGTCTCTTCCCACGGACCTTGCAGAAGCAGCCTTTGTCCTGACCCGGGCCTGGCCCTGCCTTCCTCTGCGCTGTGCCTGGCCGGCCGTGGGGATTCCCCGCTGGCCCCACGCTGCCATCCCAGGCAGACGCCACATGGAACCTGGCTTCTCCATCTGGCCACTGTCCCCTCCGGTCACAGACCTCAGGAGGGGCTCAGCCTTGCTTCCCGCACTTGCTGCCCCTCTGACAGATTAAACCCTGCACCCCGCTGTCCTCTCGGGAGCACCTCCCCGCACTGTTCCAGAACAGAGAGCGGCTGAGCCCTACAGCACGTGTGTCCCGCATGCTGGCTGTGGATGGGGGTGGCCGTGGGGGCAGGCAGCTGGTGGCTTGATGTGTGTGTCACTGCAGCCTGCCTTCGGTGCCACCTCAGCCTCGAGACAGTGGGGGTGAGCCCGGATCGGGGATCCTGTCCAATCTGCTCCCTGGAGTGAGGGCCGGGCCGGAGGGCAGCGCAAGGCAAGGCCTTTTCCACTGGCTGTTCATGGAAGTGCGGAAAGACCGTGCCCCATGCCCAGGGACGCACCCTTGCATGGTGGTTCTCCAGGGCCTGCTTCCTGGGGAAACGGCACTGTGGAGACACCTGGCTTGGGAGGCCGGCATAGCCTCTGCAGGCGCACATCTCGAGTCCGGCTTTCCTGGCTCCTGGCCTTCAAGAGTGACCTTGAGACTGTCCCCCACCCTGGCCTCTCCACATGGCACCCTAAGGAGCAGGAAGGGACACCGTGGCTCCTACAGAGGCGGGGTCAGCTTGACCTCGACAAATGTGGCCTGGCTTGGCACTGCCAGAGGGGCTTGCAGGGCTCTCTGCTTGGGGGGAGCTTGCAAGGCGTGGCTCTGTGTTCTCCATTGTTGGTGATTTTGGGGGTGTCCCTAGATGCCACATTGTCCCCAGAATGCACCTGCTGTGTGTGCACTGTGCCATCCCAGCCTCACACGCGAGAGTGGGGTGCCGGTATCTCAGGTGACCTGTGCAGTGACGTGCGACAGACTGCGATTTTCCTGTTGCCAGAAGTGGCAGCAGAGCTCAGAAGGACCACAGTGGAGCAGAGGAACCAGCACACCGCATGGCAGGGTCGGATTCGTCCCAGAGCGTGGGCTGCGCTTGGAACCAGCACCAGCACAGGGCCCCGGGTGAGGGCAGAGCTGGCGCCCCCTTCTGCAGCCTGGTGGGCACTGTGCTCGCACGCCGTGGGGCCGGGGCTGTGAGGCAGGAGCCCCTGTGGGCCGGTACCTGTGAGTCCAGGTGTGGAAGGGATTTCCGTAACCCGTGCCACCGTGGCTGAGGAGGGAGGGGACAGAGGGGTCACTCCACACTGCCCACAGTGCCACTCTCCACCGCGTGCTGTGCCCCTGTGCTTAGGGCCTGGGAGTCATCTGCTCCTGAGAGGGCAGAACCCAGGGGCCTCCGAGGCCACATCCAGGGCAGTGAGGGCTGCCTGGCTCTGGGAAGGGGGCGCGAGGGCAGGGGGGCCTGGCTGTGCCCTCAGGGCGGGACACCAGCAAGTGGCTTCTGGGGACTCCTGGCTGCATGGGCAGCATCGGACCTGCTGGGCCACTTGATCCCAACCCGTGCTCCCACCCAGCAAATCTCCCCTCTCTCCTTAGTCCTGTCAGGCCTCTGCCCTGGGACCAGAAGGCTCCCATGCTGACCCTTCCCGCTGCCCTGGGCCTGAAGCACGTGCTCACGGGGAAGACATGGGGACGTGAGGGACAGAGGCCGGCTCCAGGGCCAGGGCTCTCGGCAGTGTGTCCAGGCCCAGCTGCTGGGAGGCCGCAGTGGAGCCTGGGGCTGTCACGTTCAGTGGCCCGATGGGCCGTGAGAGGACAAGTCCTGCTGAGGACACTCAGACATGGCCACTGCGAGAATCCAGTCCCCGGCAATCCTGGCGGTGCGTGGCACCTTCCCATGGTGACCTCTTCTGTCCTGTCACCCACATGGGCTTGACCCGCCCTCGCCGCTGTCCGTGGGTCCTCTGTGGTCACCCCTGTGGTACCGGTATCTTACTGTCCCTGTTACACAATCCTGCAAGTCCCTCGAGGTGGTGTTCTACAATGATATTTTAAGGCTGAGAAAGTTCCCAGGTTGGAATTGGCAAAGCAGCGCTAACATCAAAGTTGCTTCTTGTGAAGAAGAAAAATGTACATATATTGCACCTTGGGTTGTCAGAAGGTGAAAACTGAAATAAATTATCTTTCAGAAGAAAACTCTGATATCTTTTGTCTGACACTGCCCTGGGGACGCCTCTCCAAGTCTGCAGCTCCTCAGGTCCCCAGTGCTTTCTCAGAGGGGAGCAGGGCCGCTGTCTGTGGAGTGGGACCAGAGAAGCCCTGGGCCAGACCCTAAGCTACAGGATCCTTCTGAACCGAAGTGGTCTATCGCTTGGATTTGGGGGTGGTAAGGGGACCTCGAGGGGTGGAGCTCCCCAAACCCAGGCAGGACACCTTGGTCCAGCTTGGCCACAGACGACGTCCGAGCTTGTGCTTTCTTCCTCCCTAGCTTGGGGTCCTGCCACGTCAGAAGCCACCTTGCAGTGGCCAAGCAGCAGGAAGGCTGGGGACAGGCCAACCGTAGAGGGACTCCGGAGCCTGTCCCTGTCACTGGGGCAGGAGTGGACAGGCTGTCCTGTGTCCCCAGTGTTCCCTCTATCCACACAGAGCCAAGTGTGGGAACGCCAGCCTGGGGTGTGGCGTCTGGGCTTCTCTTGGTGCCGGGAAGTGGGGCACCCTGCCACATGTTAGAGGGCGGCTGCTGGGCTCAGAGCCAACTCTGGGGGCAGGGCGGGCACCTTGACAGGGCCTGGAAAGGCCCCTGCGTCCCCGCTCCCTGCCAGCCAGATGGCTGGGGAGCTTCTGCTTCTGCAGCCCCTGTGGGGAGGGCGCCCCAGCCCAGCCGCCCTGCGAGACCCCAAGTGGTGGGCAGAGCACTTTGTACACGGCCAGCTGAGCTGCGCTGTCACCTCCAGCCGGGCCCTGTCCTGAGTGCGGAACGAACCAGTCAGTTTCCCCTGAAGAAGAAAAGGGACCGAGCTTCTTGGTCTGTGTCATAGGAACACGGTTAAAATGTATTCCTCAAAATTCACAGAATGAACCACAAGAGTGAAGCAAGCTTGCAGGCTTAGGGTTTCCTGGGTAAAGCACGACCTTTCCCTCCAGCCATACTCAGGTTGCTGCCGCCTGAGTCCCTTGGTTCCCTGCCAAGCACCTTCCCACAGGGGCCACCAGCACCCTGACCCTGTGAGCATCCGCTCCACGGGAAAGGACAATGCCTCATTCAGGACTCCATGGCGGTCACAGGGCTGTGCTTCTCCCGGAGGGAGACTTCCCCACTGACTGCCCCAGGGGCAGCCGAAGGTCAGTCTTTGATGGTTGGGACAAAAAGGAAGAGGACGTGAGGGAGGAGGGGCTCAGCCAGGTGCCCACACTGCTCCCTGCCACCTCTGGAGCCTCCATTTGTTAGTCCTGCAGTGGTCCCACAAGGAGGACTGTCCACTCTGCCGGTGAGGGAAATCCTTGCGCCCAGTGGGGAACCATATCCAGGGCCTCCTGCCCCAGAGGGCACTGTACCCACGGCCAGTAGAGGGGCCACAGATGGACAAGTCCCCAGCGAGGTCTGCGGGCTGCAGGAAGGGGTGCTGGGGACACCTCGATCTAAGGCACCGGAGCCTTCCACAGTCCCTGCAGCAGAGCAGGCCTGGGGGAGGGACTCCAGGGCTGGAGGTTTGTTTCCCACGTCACCATTGTCACGAAGAAATTCCTCCCTCTCCTCTGTGAGCTGCTGAGACCGGCCCTGGGGTGCGGCCCCTGGTGACACTGGGGACTAGTGGGGTGTGCCGTGGTTCTGGCTGTCAGCCCAAGGGTCCGCACAGGTGTGGGAGTGTCAGTCCTCAGAGCGAATGTGTGACTTCGAGTGTGCGCGAGGAGCTGGCACATGGAGGAGAAGGCAGACACCGCACCGGTGCCCACAGACACTGCCCAGCACCCAGCTTCGGAAGGGCCCTGGACCCCTGGCCTCCAGAGCGGGAGGCCTCGCATTTCCCGACTTAAGCCCCGGCTCCTGACACCCAGTCACAGCAGCCCCGGGAAATCAGCCCACTGTGTTGGCACCAGAACGCAGGAGAAACTGCACGGCCGGATCAGGAGGGGAAGCAGGCGGAGCAGGGCCTCGGAGAGTCACACGGAGTTTACTGCACCGGGCTCCGCGCCATGTACACTGCCCATGCACCCAGCACAGGGGGGACACTGAGGCTCTGAGCGTCTGACAGTGCCTGACGTGAGCGCACAGCCCCAAGAGGAGGCCTGCCCAGCACCTCCACCTGTGGCCTGGAGTCGCTTCCTAGTTCCGGGGTCCCTGCTCCTGTCCCTGGAGGTCCTCCAGGAGCGTCTCCTCTGCTGAGTCCTCACCACTGGCCTCTTCTTCTCTTCTCTGGCTCCCTAGGGTGCTGTGCACACTCTAGATAATAAAATAATAATAACAATAGCAATAATAATACCACAGCCACAGCATCAAACACAGAATGGTGGCCACGGCCTCCCTCATTCTCCACAGGTGGGGGCCAGGTTCCTCCAACTCCTCACACATGGCGCATCAACCTCCACCCAGGTAGGGTTCCTGTGCCTTCAGCCACCTTGCAAATGGGGTCCAAAAGGCCCAGAGAGGCTGAGACACTGTCCTGGGAGCACACAGGACAGCAGCTTTGGACCCAGCCAGCCTGACCTGGGGGTTCTATTCCTCCGTGGCCTTCCGGGGACATCTGGGAGGTGGTGGCACCCACCCCTGGGGCCTGGCTCCTGGCCACACCCTCGGCCTCACCCCCTGGCCTGCACACTCTGAGCTTCCTGGTGCCCCATGAGTTCCGGCGCACCTGGCTGCGGGTGGGATGGGTGTGGGCCCGGCTGGGCGGGGCTTCCTCGGAGCTCTAGGGCAGAGTCCCAGGCGCCCCCCACTGCGGTCTCAGGGCACGGCCCACTGCTCCCTCCTCCCTGTGTTCCCCGCTCCGCTCCCATGGTGCACAGGCTAACCTGGCTGGCAGGCAGCCCCAGGGCAGCATCTGTGAGTGGCCGAGCCTCAAAATGCCCAGAAACTCCCCACATCTTGGCCTGAAAGTCCTGCGCAGGAGAGACCAGGGTGGGCTGGATTCAGTGAACACAGGAGGGCGTGGGCTGGGAAGGAAAGATGGAGACACAAAGGCCCACACACAGTGACACCCCAGGGCACTGTCCTGCCTGGCGCTACTACTGGACACACGTGGAATCCACGGCACCCCGGGGCAGCAGGATCACCCCATTCTCTAGATAGGGACCCAGCCCCAGAGGCCCGGGCGGCATCCACAGGCACCCAGGAAATCGCCCAGAGGGATACCGCAGAGAGCTGGGGAGCAGCTCAGTAGCAGAGCCCTGGCCTGCACATGTGAGGCCCTGGGCCGATTCCCAGCACCATGGATAAACAGATAAATGCTGGGGGAGCAAGGGGTGCCTGCCGGGAGCCAGGGTGCCCTCTTGCCTGTGCAATGGTTCTGAACCTTAGGGGTCAATCTCTTGACGCGTCCCCCACAGGCAGCTGGAAGGGCTCCCAGCCTCAAGTGCCTGCCCAGCTAACCGCTCAGAAGCAACCCCCAGGCTGGGGGGAAGCCCAGGCTGCGGAGGGAGCCCAAGGCAGGGCCCAGGATGGGGCCCCGGGGACCCACACACAGCTTGACGCTCTGCCGCCCCCCAGAGGGCGCCCCGTTCACATCTGCACCTGGCCCTGCAGGTCTCCTGTCCCCAAGCTGGACACAGCCACCATCTGGCAGGCACAGGAGGCGACCTCTGAAAGGGTCTGGCCCTGCCTCTGACACCCAGCATCCCCAGAACCACCGAGGTCAGGCCGGCATGTTCCCGGTGGCTGGCATTGTGGCCTGAGCCCTCAGAGGGGCCACAGGCGCTCACCACACAGGACGAGCTTCCGCCTTCCTGCTCACCCGAGGGCCGCATGGTCCCTGACAGAGAGCATGGCCTGGCCCCTCCGCCCTCAGTAATGAAATACAAATGTCTTGGGCACAGAGCTTCTCTCCAGAGGGAGGAACAATGGGGAGCCCACGCTAGGAGGCACAAGTGGGGTGCTGCCCACCTGCAGGTCTTGCTCCGGGTCGTAGCTGCCCAGGGTCTGGCAGGCCCTGGAGTACACCTCCACTGCCTTGGCGTGGAACACCATCTCAACGGTCACGAATTCCAGGAAGACCCTCTGCAGGGGAAGAGGAGTCACCCAGAGGCGGCTGTCCTCGGGGGGATAGGTCCTGGGTGGGAATTTTTCTCTTTTTGTGGTCCTGGGGATGGAACTCAGAGCCTTCACAGTGAGCTCTACCCCCAGCCCTTTTCAATTTTTTAAATTTTGAGACAGTCTAACTAAATCACTAAGCCACCCAGGATGGACTTCAGTTTGAGATCCTCCTGCCTCAGCCTCCCAGAGTGCTGAGATTATAGCCATGTGGCACCATGCCCGGCCCTGGATGAGGAATTTTAATATTCGTTTGGGTTTACTTGTGCTTGAACCCCGTAGTGCATATTATGGTTCAGAGGCAAAACCAAGCAAGCATTCGTGGAGGTCACCTGAGTCCACCTTGCCGCCTCCTCCCTTTGACCTCCACTTGCCAGAGACACAACTTGCTGCTTGATGTGATTGTGCCCGGCACGGAGACACTGCCACACAGGCCCCTGCATGCCCCTCTCCTGGGAAGGCACAGCTGTGGGGAACTCTTGCCAGACGAGGCACCTGTGCCCCAGGCAGGGACCGATGTCCAGGGAGCGCTGCTCTGCCAGCCCAGGTGCCCCCACTCAGCCAGCCGAGTACGCAGCCTCCACCCGGGTGGGGAGGGGCCACAGGCGGACACAGCCCAAAGGGCCAGCAGCTGTCTCCTGCCGGCTCCGCACACAGGGCACAGGACACAGGCTTAGTGCCGGAGGAGCACGGTGTCTGGTCGCAAGGAAGAGCCCCAGCCGGGAGAGGAGGGAAAGGGCCACCTCCCATCCCTCCTGCCTGGGCGCAGCTGGGCGGGAGCAGCAGAATCCACAGTGCAGAAGTCTTGTCTGGGGACAGCGGCCCTCTCCGCCTCAGTTTACCTCTCTGCGTGGTGAGGACGACAGTCTTCTCAAAGCGTTTGGAGCCAGTCGGAGCCCCTCGCCTCAGCCTCTGCTGAGTCTGCCCGACCCACAAACCGACTCCGCTGTGGCTGTGGGTAAGTGCGGCCCCCGCATAGGCAGCGGCCTCCAGCCAAGATGGCGCAACAGGAAGGCCGGCAGCGTCTTGCTCCCCTCTCCTCCCAGGCTGGAGGCTCCTGGGGAGCTCGGCCGTGTCCTTGTCTGCGTGCTCCCACTGGGCGCTGGCCGTGCACACAGCGCCAATGAATGACAGCTGCTGAGGGCTCCGGCCCTGCCCCACCACAGCAGGGTGCCGATGGCCATGATCTGCCTGCTGCATCCTCCTCACCTGCCCCACATACTCCCTGAGGCCCATGGTGCACCCAGCCCGGCCATGCTGTGCAGCGACCCGTGCACTGACCACCGTGAAGGTGGCAGGCTGCCCCTCCCCAGGCGCCAGCTCCAGGAGCGTTGGGTCTCCCTTGCGGGGTGTGGTAGACCCCGCACCTGGTAGGTACCTGTCCCACATCAGTGACATGAAGGAGCACAGGAAATGTGTGGCCCCTCAGTCTGTGGGGGCAGCTGCCCAAGAGGGGGCCAGGCAGGGGCATGGACCAAGGCCTGAAGGAACAAGGCTGGTGCATCCGGGGTGAGGGGTCATCTCCTCACAGGGAGAGCAGGGACTTCTGGCCGAGCACCAGCCGTGCAAAGGCCCAGGGGCAGCGAAGGTGGAGCTGCAGTATGGCTGCAAGATGGGGCTGGAGGTGGGGCTCCCAAAGCCTTAGAGAGGAGTTTGTTCCCTGCCTTTAGAATGAGGCTAGGGTGTAGGGTGCTAAACCCAGGAGATCCTGGGGCTGCAATTTGGAAAGTGGACAGGGGCTGGAGGAGAGTGGACATGGGGGTCTCTGCAGTTGGTTCATCTTAGGGGACCAGACTCCCAGAACCTTCTCACAAGGGCAGCAGCTCTGGGCTGGGCCGCCTTGGGTGGCGTGAGGAGGGTGCCCCTGCAGCCCACGCACCTCCTTCCCAAGGGGCTCCGTGGCCGTGCTGGGGCCATGGCGGGAGAGGGAAGGGGTGGCTCGCGTGGCACAGCTGCTGCAGCCTTCTGCTTGGGGCTGTGATGGGAGGGGACAGTGGCCTTGAGCAGCCATCGGCCTCTCTGCCACCAGGGGGCGCTGTGCCCGAACTCGGGTTCCACGCGTGTGCACACGCCCTCCCTTGGCCACACAGGGGTGTGCACACTTTGGTGCTCGCCTGCATGCACCTCGCAGCTCACTGTCACCCGCATGTGTATGCGCATCCTCACAGACGTGTGAAAATACCCTCGCACACCCCTACACGCCTCCCCGCACGCATACCCACATCCCAACCCCCACGCACGCACGTCTCTGCACAGGGCGCAGACGGCCCTACCTGGAGGCCCTCCAGCCTCCGCCGCTGGAAGGCGTCCACCGTGTCCTCCAGCTGCCGGCTGGTGCGGCTGGCGTCCACCGAGGCCCTCTGCGCACTGCTCTCGGCCTGCCCCGGGATGCAGGGAGCGGAGGTGTCGCTGGGATCCGTCCCCGGCACCATTCACGTAAACCAGCCCAGCTTCTCCGCCGGCTCCCCTGCCCCCAAGGCCCTCTGCGCACTGCTCTCGGCCTGCCCCGGGATGCAGGGAGCGGAGGTGTCGCTGGGATCCGTCCCCGGCACCATTCACGTAAACCAGCCCAGCTTCTCCGCCGGCTCCCCTGCCCCCGGGGTCCCATGCCAGTGTGGGGCTGGAGAAGGCTGAGCAGGTGCGGCCAGGGTCGCTCACTGGAGTTGTGGACTTCCGGCAAGCTGTGTGACCCAGGCAAGTCACGTAACCTCTCTGAGCCTCGATCTTGGGTAGAAGGGGGGTTGCTGCCCTCGGGGATACTGTACATATTCCCCAGCGCCTGGCTCAGCTCTTAGGGTATGGGCTCCCCAGGGAACAGGTGAGGCAGCCCTGTCCTGGGACGCGCCTGGGTCACTGGCTCATCTGTTCCCTCACTCACCGTCCACAAGGCCTGCTCTGTGCCTGGCCCATGTGTGCCTGTGTGACCCTGAGGCTCTGCCCCGCTTCTCCAGAGTGGCCCCCAAGGACCACCCCGATCAGGACCCTGGGTGCTTCTGGCCTGTGCCCCGAGGATGTGGGCAGCCCCTGGCTTCCACCTACAGATGCCACGTGGCCAGGGCCACGATAGCCCCCATGATGTCCACATCTCCACCCTGCAGCCCACCGGTAGCTCCTCGTGTGGGGAAGGCCAGCTGTGAGTGGGGGGCTGTCCTGGGTCCTCGGGGCAGCAGAGGTGGCGGAGGCCAGGACTGTGCACTGGGCACACACTGGGGATGGGGGCCACCGGCCCCGGGTCACACAGCAGAGGTCCCTGGGCTCCAAGGGCAGAGGTGATGCACCAGCTACCAGGCAGCCCCAGGCCGCTCTGGCGTGGATGAAGTGTCCACCTCAGCGACCGCGAGACGGGCAGCCCTGCACGCCGGGGACTCACTCCTCACCTGGGACTGGGAGTGCAGTTAAGGAGCCAGGGAAGCCCGGTGCCCTGTCGGTGGGCCACACCCCAGCAGGACCCTGTCCCACCCGGGGGCCCTGGGCGGCCCAGCTGCCACCCTGGCCCAAGCTGTTCCCAGCGCGGTCTCCAGGGAAGGATACAATCATTTGCCGATCGGAGGGTGACTTCTGCCTCAGTTTCTCCAGCTTTTCCAGTTGTTTGATCTCATTGCTTTGGACTCGCTTGAATTTCTTGATCTCGGCCTAAGGAGAGAAAAGCAGAGGCCTGTTTCCCAGGCGTCTCCTGGCCGCCCCTGCCGCCCACCCAGGTGCCCTGCTCACCCGAGTCTGCTTGATCTGGGTGCCATACAGCTTCAAGGGGTCGACGACCTTGGCCTCCAGCCTCTCGACCTTGGGCAGGAGGGCAGCGCAAGGTGAGGGTGCATGGGGACACATGCTCCACACACACCGCCCGGGGCAGCAGGGAAGGGGCCTCCCTGTCCCCTCGGGTGGCGGCCTGGACAGGGTCTGAGCCGCCAGCGGCTGGGAGCATTTACTCTCCCAGGCCGGGGAGTGGGGCTGTGACAGCCGGGCAGGGGAACCCGTAACCCAGCACTCTGGGAGACCGAGGCAGGGGACGCAAGTCTGAGGCCGGCCCGGGCAGCTTAGACCCTAGGGGCTGGGGGTGCAGCGCGGTGGAGAATGCTTGCCAGGCATTCGGAGGCCCCAGGCTCCACCCAGACCCACGGGTGACGCAGGGCATGGACCCACGCCAGGCTCACAGCAGGGCAGGGGCACGGCAGCCCTAGGGAGACTGGTTGGCAGGGAACTTCGGCCTTTAGGCCCAGCCAAGCCGGTGCCCTTTCCTCCCTGCCGTGGGGCGGGCTCTGCACTGGGGGTCTGGACCCAGATGGGGCTGCATCCAGATGGTCCCCACACCAGGCTCTCCACGCTGCAGGAAGGCACCATGGCGGGGGTGCTGGCCATGAAGCACAGACAGGGCCAGGCCCGCCCAGGCTACCCACGACCTCCTGGGGCTTGAAACCCCATCTCCTCCCAGCTGGCAGCTGGGGGGACACCGGGGCCGTGCCAGGCCGCCCTGGGGACAGCGGGTGGCGCTGTGTGGAGTCACCGTGATGGGCGCCAGTGTGTGCCTGGGGACCAGGCCGCGTGGGCTCCACCACTTGTCCCTGTGCCTAGAGTGGCAGCACGGCTCCCAGCACCCCCGGGTGGGCGGGTGGCACCCA